AGAGGACACATATCACGTGATTCCTCTTATATGAGGCCCTGGAGAAGTCAAATTCAGAGACATAGAGACAGGCCCTGGTCAGTTTGGCTCAGCAGTTGGAGCGTTGGCCCACAAACCGGATTCGATTCCAGTCAAGGGCATGGACCTGTGTTGTGGGTTTCTTCCCCAGCCCCAGTTGGGGTCGTGCAGGACTCAACCAATTGACATAACTCTCTCTCTCTCTCTTTTTTAAATTTTTTTTCTTTACTGATTTGAGAGAGAGAGGAAAGGAGAGGGAGAGAGAGATAGAAACATCAATGAGAACAAACATCGACTGGCCACCTCCTGCATGCCCCCCATTGGGGATTTGGCCCACAACCTGGGCACGTGCCCTGACCGGGAATCAAACCGGCAACCTCTTGGTGCATGGGTCCACACTCAACCACTGAGCCACACTGGCCAGGCTGATGTGACTCTTACATCCATGCTTCTCTCTCTCTCTCGTCCCACCCTCCCTCCCATCCACTCTGTCTAAAAAAAACAATGGAAAAATATTCTTGGGTGAGAATTTAGAAAAACTTTAAAAAAAAATTCATAGAGACAGAAAGAATGGTGGGTGCAGGAGCTGAGGGAGCGGGAGCTTGTGCTGAGTGGGGCAGAGTTTAGTGGGGGAAGATGAAGCGTTCCAGAGGTGGGTGACGCTGCAGGGCCACACGGAGTGCCACCGTACTGTACGTACCCCTGAATGTGGTTAGAGCAGTGAACGTCACGTGAGGTGTGCAGAGGGGGACGTGCCTGCCGTGACTGGAAAGGAAGCTGTGGGTTCCTGGAACCACCGCTCTGAGGTCACATGGTGATGACAGGTGGCACTGTGTCAGGAAGGGGTTTAATGCCTTCTCTCTTAGAGCCTGTCTGCCTTTGTGTGCTCAGCCGTCCTTCGTCATGATGCTAGAGAAAGGGGAGCCCTGGTCCCCGTTCCCTCTCCAGGACTGTGACCCGTCATGCCCAAGCCCTGTCTGAGGGACTGGCCCCGCCCAGCTTCCCCTCCTCCCCCAGGAATCCCGGCTGCTCTTTTCCACCAGTAAGAGTGGTGGCAGCCTCGGAGGCTCGGTGCTCACCAGCTTCCAGGCCCAGTGTCCGGGGTGTGTGACCAGGGCCATGACATGGGTCCCTGAGCCCCCAGGGGCCCTGCGCTTGGGGTCTAATGGTCTTTGGCTGCCATCGTGAAATGTCTAATAATTTTGTCTTTAAATTTGTGTTGCATAAGTGAAGTCCAGTGGAACAATGGGGCAGGGACTGGGGCCGTGGGGCCGTGGCTCTCATGTCATCCTACTCCAGCCACCTCCTGCCTCCCCAGAGTGGATTCTCAGCTGCTCGCTGTCCTGCCTCCTGGCCCCAGGTCTCCACTTCTGCATCCGCCCAGAACTCTCTGAGGAGCCTCCCAAGGTGGCAGCTCTCCCTGCCCAGGGGCAGCAACACCACAGAGCTTTTAGAGGGTGCCTCGGGGAACTTCGAGGGTCACCCATCCAGAACCGGGGAATGGCGGCCATCTGGCAGGAGCCCTGGCAGCTGGTGGACCCCACGTATGTACATGCCAAGTCTCAGGTCAGGTCCTGGGTGCCTGGGAGGGTCAGCACTTACCCAGCCCCAAGCCCGAGGGGGCAGAACACTAAATAGATAATATAAATCATCGTGACAAGTGGAAATAGAGGTCTCAGAAGAAAGAACAAAGCATTCGATTTTAGAGCTTCAATGGCACCTTTCTCTGCTGATTGAACACAGGGCTCTGCACGGCTCCGGGTCCTGCAGGTCCTCGGCCGTCCCCCGGCATCATCTCCCGAATATGCAGCGGGCTTGCAGGAGAGAGGCTGGGATCTGTACTTCACCGCTGAGAAAATGGAGCTGTCGGGGGCGCTCTGGAGAGTCTCCCTGAGCGGACTCAGCCCCAAACAGAAGGGCTTTCAAGGAGTCCCTGGCTGCTCCATGCCCCCGTGGTCCGGTTCTGCGCCCCACGGACCAGCCTCAGGTCCCCCTCTAGGGATAGGCAAGGACACTGTGCACTTGGATTCAGAAGACCTGGGCATCATCTAGATTTTCCATTGATGATTTGCAAGGCTTTAGGTGAAGTACTCACCTCCCCAATCCTGTTTTAGTGTGACTAAATGTCGAGTTCCCTTCTCTACTGAGGACACACATGCTTCTAGGAGATCTCATATGTAAACATGATCTGAAACTTGAAAAGATACAGTAGCACAGAAGTATTATGTACCACGTGTGGCTTAGCACAGACCTTAGCTTCCCAGACTCTGGAGGACGAAAGGAAGAAAGGGGAGGGAGAGTCATCGTCTTAGGGGTTAAAAAAGCTAGCTTCACTGCATTACTTTTATGGTGGTGTTGATGTTTTCAGAATTTTACTAGATGAAACAGAGCTTTTGATCAGGAGTAGGAGAGGGTCATAGAGGCAACAGGTTCTCATTTAGCCAGTTTTAAACCCTCCAGTTCTCTGTTTCTTTCTTTGTAAATAAAGGGAATAAGATGTCAAGTATGAAATAAATCCTAAAACTCTCTTATATTTTCATCTCAATTTTCTTCCCTTCAAAGCATTGTTTGGTGTCTGGTTCTCTTTGATCATGTGCATAGACATCTGTTAATATCATTTTAAATGCAGTGAATCTGCTAGGAATGTTATTTCTGTACATCTCACACATATTTATAGCATAATTTGGAAATACTTAAATGCCACTTATAAATATGTCTTGGGTCATTTCTGTGGCCAGAATTTCTATCCCATCGGGTTGTTGCATGGATTAAATATGTGCATCGTCTATGGAAAAGTTCCTGACAGACGGTCCCCATGCATCAAAGTTAGCCGTTGTTGTTATTATGGAGTAGTACTGTGGGTGAGAGAGAGGAAGAGAGGTAAAAATGGGGAAGGAAGAAAAGAAAGATGGAAAAAGGGAGGGGGTGAAGAAAAGTGGGGATTAGGAAGAAAAAGGGAGAATTGGATCTGAGGAAGGCCTTGGGGATCACCTAGCTGCGTTGCTTTAGTCACTTGGATATTGGATCACTTGGAGAGCGTGAAATTCATCCATTCCTGGTCTTGCCTCCACTCTCCTGGGTGACAGATGAGAGAACCAGGGTAGCCAGTGGTCTTTCCCATTCCTAGAAGGATGCCCCTGGATGGCATGAGGTTGGAGCCCAGCTTCTTGCTCCGAATATCTTTTATCACCTCTACTTCTGATATGACATGTGTGAGAGGGGCACTGCTCTACCCCAGGGCCACCAGATCCCCGGTGGGATCCACAGAGCCCACACGCAGCCGTTCAGTGGGCCCGCACCCTGAGCTGTAGAATCCAGGATGGGGGCTGCCACCTCTGTGCCTGATCTCTGTGACATTCACTGAGCCATGTTTTCACCTATGTCTATTTTAAATGGAATAATGGAAATGATGTGTTTGGTGATTTTGATTGACTGATGAGATAGTAGTGAAAATAATTTTGATTCAGGTCTGTGTTTGAGATCTCCTTCATTGTGGAGTCCAGACATTGGGTATATGGCTGCTCAACTTTATGTTTGAAGTATTTCAGTCAAAAGTTTGGGGGGTATATAAAAGCAAGTAGCTGAAGAAGCAGTTTAAAATGTTCATGTGTCACATGATAATTAAAATGTCAAAAATTAAAGACCAAGAGAGAATCCTAAAGTCAGCAAGAAATTAGCAACAAGTTATTTACAAAGGAACCCCCATGAGGCTATCAACTGACTTCTCAACAGAAACACTACAGGCCAGAAGGGAATGGCATGAAGTAATCAAGGTCATGAAAAGCAAGAATCTGAATCCAAGACTACTCTATCCAGCAAGGCTATCATTCAAAATAGAAGTTGAAATAAAGAGCTTCCCAGACACATACACACAAAAAAAGGCTAAGGGAATATAATAGCACCAAACCAGCACTCCAAGAAATGTTAAAAGGACTGCTGTAATAAGCAGAAGAAGTAGAAAGAGAAATATAACCAGAATAAACAAAAATGGCAATAAGTAAGTACATATTAATAATAACTTTAAATGTAAATGGATTAAACACTCATATCAAAAGACACAGAGTAGCTGAATGGATAAGAAAGCAAGACTCCTATGCTGTTTAAAAGAAACACCACCTCACAACAAAAGGCTCACATAGGTTGAAAGTGAAGGGATGGGAAAAAAAATTTCCAAGCAAACAAAAAGGAAAAAAGAGCTGGGGTAGCAATACTCATATCTGATAAAATAGACTTCAAAATGAAGACTATAACTAGAAACAAAGAAGACCACTACATAATACTGAAAGGATCTATCCAACAGGAAGATATAACCTTGGTAAACATATATGCACCCAACATAGAAGCACCAACATACATTTAAAAACTTCTGAAGGACTTCAAAGGATAAATCAACAGCAATACTATCTTAGCAGGGGACTTCAACACCCTGCTGACATCACTGGATGGATCCTCTAGACAAAAAATTAACAAGGAAACAGAGACTCTAAATGAAGGACTAGATCAAACTGATTTAATAGATATCTACAGAGAATTATACCACAAAACTGAAGAATTCATATTCTTCTCAAGTGTACATGGGACATTCTCAAAGATAGACCACATGTTAGGACACAAACTAAGTCTCTGCAAGTTCAAGAAGATTGAAATCATATCAAGCATCTTCCCAGATCACAATGGCATGAAACTAGAAATCTTTTACAACAAAAACATTCAAATACATTCCAACACATGGAGGTTAAATAGCATGTTATTAAACAATGAATGGGTTTCCAAGGAGATTAAGGAAGAAATTTCAGACTTCCTGGAAACCAATGAAAATAAACACACAACAACACAAAATCTATGAAACACAGCGAAAGCAGTCCTGAAAGGGAAGTGCATAGCACTGCAGGCCTACCTCAAGAAAGAAGAAAAAAATTCTAATTGACTTTCTAACCCTACAACTTAAAGAACTAGAAAGTAAACAAAAAGAAAAACTCAATGTTCGCTTCGGCAGCACATAGACTAAAATTGGAATGATATAGAGTAGATTAGCAGGGTCCCTGAACAAGGATGATGTGCAAATTTGTGAAGCATTTCATATTTTTTAAGGGACTGTTGTAAGAAGATGAAGAAGAAAGAGAGAGAGAGAGAAAGAAGAACACAGGCATAAAATAAAAATGGCAACTAATAACTATCTATCAATAATAACCTTAAATGTAAATGGCTTAATGCTCCAATCAAAAGACATAGGGTAGCCGATTGGATAAGAAAGCATGATCCATATATATGCTGTCTACAAGAAACTCACCTCACAACAAAAGACTCACACAGGACGAAAGTGAAGGGGTGGAAAAAAATTTACCAAGCAATCAGAAATGAAAAAAAAAAAGCTGGTGTAGCAATACTCATATCTGACAAGATAGACTTCGAAATGAGGGCCATAATACGAGACAAAGAAGGTCACTACATAATATTAAAAGGATCAAGAGGATATAACCCTGGTGAACATATACGCATCAAATATGGGAGCTCCAAAATATATTTTAAAATTTCCGGAGGACTGCAAGAGAGAGACTAATAGCAATACAATCTTAGTGGGTGATTTTAACACCCCACTTACACCACTGGATAGATCTTCTAGACAAAAACTTAACAAGGACATAGAGCCCTTAAATGACAATCTAGATCAGTTGGACTTAATTAATATTTACAGAACATTTCACTCCAAAGCTGCAGAATATACATTCTTCTCAAACATAGACCACATGTTAGGACACAAAGTAAGTCTCTACAAATTTTAAAAGATAGAAATCTTATCAAGTATCTTCTCAGACCACAATGGCAGGAAACTAGAACTCAATTATAACAAAAATACACAAAAACATTCAAATACTTGGAGGCTAAATAGCATGTTATTAAACAACAAATGGGTTACCAACAAGATCAAGGAAGAAATTAAAAACTTCCTGGAAACCAATGAAAATGAACACACAACAACACAAAATCTATAGGATGCAGAGAAAACAGGCCTGAGAGGGAAGTTCATAGCACTACAGGCCTACCTCAAGAAACAAGAAAAATTCCTAATTGACTCTCTAACCCTACAACTTAAAGAACTAGAAAGAAAAACCCAGAGCAAGTAGAAGGAAAGAAATAGTAAAGGTCAGAGCAGAAATAAATGACAGAGAGACTAAAAAAAAAAAAAAAAAAAAAAAAAAAAACAGTTCAAAAAATCAATGAAACAAAAAGCTGGTTCTTTGAAAAGATAAACAAGATCAATGGACCTTTAGCCAGACTCACCAAGAAACAAAAAGAGAGGACCCAAATAAACAAAATCAGAAACGAAAGAGGAGGATTAACAACTGACACCACAGAAATACAAAGAATTATTGAAACATACTATGAACAAGTATACACCAACAAATTGGACAATCTAGACAAAATGGACAAATTTCTAGAAACACACAGTCCTCCAATACTGAATTGGGAAGAGATAGAAACTTTAACAGACCAATAACAACAAAGGAAATTGAAGATGAATTAAGAAACTCGCAGCAAACAAAAGCCCAGGTCCAGATGGCTTCCCGGGGGAGTTTTACCGAACATTCAAAGAAGATCTAATACCTGTTCTTCTCAAAATATTCCAGAAAATCGAAGAAGACAGGAGACTTACAATCTCATTTTATGAGGCCAGCATAATCCTAATTCCAAAAGCAGATAAAGACACTACAAAGAAACAAAACTACAGACCAAAATCCCCAATGAATACAGATGTCAAAATCCTTAACAAAATATTAGCAAATCAGATCCAGCAATGCATCAAAAAAATTATCCACCATGACCAAGTGGGATTCATCCCAGGGATGCAAGGATGGTACAATATTAGCAAATCAATAAATGTGACATAACATTTGAACCACATAAACAAAATGAAAGATAAAAACCATACGATCATATCAATAGATGCTGAAAACGCATTCGACAAAATCCAGCACCCATTTCTGATAAAAACACTCAGCAATGTGGGAATAGAAGGATCATATCTCAACATAATAAAGGCCATATATGAAAAAACTATAGCCAACATCATACCCAATGGGCAAAAACTAAAAACATTCCCCTTAAGAATGGGTACAAGACAGGGATGCCCACTTTTGTCACTCTTATTTAACATAGTATGGAAGTATCAGCCACAGTAATGAGACATGAAGAAAAAATAAAAGAGATCCAACTTGCAAACGAGGAAGTGAAACTGTCATTATTTGCACATGATATGATATTGTACATAGAAAACCCTAAAGACGCCATCAAAAATCTACTAGACTTAATAAATGAATTTGGAAAAGTAGCAGAATACAAAGTTAATGTCAAGAAATTGATGGCATTCTTATACACCAACAATGAACTCACAGAAAGAGAAACTAAAAAAACAATCTCATTTACCACTGCAGCAAAAAAATTAAGATACCTAGGAATAAACTTAACCGAAGAAGTAAAGGACCTATTTGCAGAAAACTATAGGTTATTAAAAAAAAAGAAATAGAGGAAGATATAAAAAAGTGGAAGCACATACCTTGTTCATGGATTGGAAGAATTAACATCATTAAAATGTTCATACTACCCAAAACTATATATAGATTCAATGCAATCCCCATCAAAATACCAATGATATACTTCACAGAACTAGAACAAATACTCCAAAAGTTTATATAGAACCATAAAAGGCCCCAAATAGCCACAGCAATCTAGAAAAAGAAGAACAAAGTAGAAAGGATAACATTACCAGATATCAGGTTATACTACAAAGCCACTGTAATCAAAACGGCCTGGTACTGACATAAGAACAGGCACACAGATCAATGAAACAGAATAGAGAACCCAAAAATTGACCCAAGACAATATGCTCAATTAATATTTTACGAAGGTGGCAAGAGCTTACAGTGGAGTGAAGACAGCCTCTTTAATAAATAGTATTGGGAAAATTGGACAGCTACATGCAAAAAAAATGAACCTAGACCATCAACTTACACCACGCACAAGAATAAACTCAAAATGGATAAAAGACTTAAATGTGACTCATGATTCCATAAAAACCCTAGAAGAAAATGCAGGCAACAAAATTTCGGACATCATACGCAGCAGACTTTTCACTGATACAATGCCTAAGCAAGACAAACAAAGGAAAAAAATAATAAATTAGACTACATCAAACTAAAAAGCTTCTGCACATCAAAAGAAACAAGTATCAAAATGAAAAGGAAACTTACTATATGGGAGAGCATAATTGCCAATGATACATCAGATAAGGGGTTAATTTTCTAAATATATAGAGTACTCATACAACTCAACAAAAGGAAGACAAAGAATCCAATTTAAAAATGGGCAGAGGACCTAAATATACACCTCTCTAAACAGGACATACAAATGGCCAAGAGACATGAAAAAATGCTCAACATCACTAACCATCAGAGAGATGCAAATTAAAACAACTATGAGGTATCACCTCACACCTGCCAGAATGGCTGTCATCAACCAATCATCAAACAACAAGTGCTGATGAGGGTGTGGAGAAAAGGAGACTCTATTACACTGCTAGTGGGAATGCAGACTGGTGCAGCCATTATGTAAAACAATATGGTATTTCCTCAAAAAATTTAAAATTGATCTGCCATTTCATCTACTGATTCCACTTCTAGGAATATGTCCTAAGAATCCTGAAACACTAATCATAAAGAACATATGTACCCCTAAGTTCATAGCAGCATTATTTACAATAGCTAAGATCTGGAAACAGCTCAGGTGTCCATCAATAAATGAGTGGATAAAAAAGCTGTGGTACATATACACAGTGGAATACTATGCAGCTGTAAGAAAGAGAGATCTCTTATCTTTTGAGACAACATCAAGGGACCTGGAGAGTATTATGCTAAGTGATATAAGCCAGTCAGAGAAAGATAAGTATCACATGATCTCACTTATTTGTAAAATATAATGAACAAAATAAGCTGATGAACAAAATGGACCCAGAGACATAGAAGTAGGGTTCAGACTGACAAACCTCAGAAGAGGGGGAGTTGGGGAGGAGGGAAGAGATAAGCCAAAGAACTTATATGCATATGTGCATAACCAATGGACATAGACAAGAATGCAGGGGGAGGGAGGGTGTGTCAATGGGGGTAAAAGGAGAAATATCTATAACAAAAATAAATTAATAAAAAAAGTGTTCATGTGTCAGAACATCTCTGACCCTCCCAGCTGGAAACCCAAGTGTCCCTGCCTCTGTGGTCCAGCTTGGGTCTTGGGATGGGCTTGTTGCTATGTTCTAATTCCCACACCCTCCTCACCCACCTCTCTTCTGACCTTTGGAGGGATTGAGGGACTTGCCAGGATGCAGGACCTTCCTGCTCAAACACGGGAAGTCGGAAGGTAGGTCACCCTCTATGCTGGGGGTCGCTGTGATGCTGATGGTTTTAGAGTAGGAGTCATTAGAGTCGAATCCTGGTTGGCTCTTGTATCTGGGCCTTTGACGCTCATTCCTCTTCTCTGGTTTCCTCTTTTCTTCTCTGTAAAATGAAGTGATTGAACCAGATGAGTGTGGCAGGCAGGTTGTCTAGCCAGGGTGCTTGGTTCCTCCTTTTGTTTCTTTTCCAGTGCTATTTTTAGCAGAACTGGAAAAGAAAAAAATAATAATAATGCATTTGAGTCAGTCTTGTATTATTGATGGAGCCATTAAAACAGAGGAATATATTTTGAAACTAATCTTTAATATCAGTGACTGATTAACATAAATCTTCATTCTCTCTAGAGCCTTGTGTGAAAAATTAATGTATGCATCAATTATTGCTGAATTACCTGTGCAAAGATGCAGTGATGTGCTGTTCATATACGTAGGTTTACTGTTATGAATAGGGTTCATTATTGTCTTGGTAAACTCATCAACTTATCCATGCCTGTGGTGTGTTGGGGACACCCTTTAAAATCATTAATGTTGTGACATGATCTTCTGTGTAGGGTGGTCAATGGTGAGCAACTAGCTGTGGGGTGGAGGGAGGGAAGAAACCCCGATTTCTAGCACCGGCCAGTCTCAGCGATGTAAATCCTCCCA